GAGGGGCGGGGCTGGGGCTGAGGGGCGGGGCCGGAACTGCTGAGTTCCCCGGAGAAGACCAGGCTCAGTGTGACCCCTGCTTGCAGCTGGCCGGACCACAACGAGTGAGGAGCTGGAGGACATGCTGGAGAGCGGAAACCCAGCCATCTTTGCCTCGGGGGTAAGTGGAGACCCCACCCACCACGACCCCTCCTTCCGTGACCCCTGGTGTGCATGGAAAGTGCTGGGGCCCGTCAGTATTTGGTCAACAGGATCCATAGAGCCATCTTGTGAGGCAGGTTGGTGCCTGTGGGTTACAGAAAAGAAGGCGGAGGCCTGGAGAGGGGAAGGGACCAGGGTGAGGTCACGTGAATGTTAGTGGCAGAGATGGAACGAAGCCCCTGATCTCCTGATTCCTCATGGAGCCACTTCCTTGCTGCTTTCCCATTTGCCAGCCGTGGGGCAAACCATCCTCCCACCATCCATTGTTCCCTGGCGGAGGACGCTATGTCCCTGGCAGTCTGTATAGCCAAGTGACGCTCTGTTCTCTGCTGAGCAGGGTTCCTTCCTGGAGGAGGTGGCATACAGGTGTGGGAGGCATAGGTCCAGGAACAGAGGGGACAGCGGGCAGTTACAGTGAGCGTGGGAGGAAGCACAGGAAGGGGCGGAAGAGCGGCCGAGCTTCTGCTCAAGACGTGGGCCCGTGGGGATGGAGGAGCAGCCACCATGAGCTCTGGTGAAAACCCCCGGCAAGGAAAATGACCCTGTAATGAGCAGTTACTGGGAAGCAAGCACTGTTAGCCCTGAATTACAGATGAGGAAAACGGGTCTCGGATATTCACTCACACTATCCAGAAGCCAGGAGCTCCGGTAGCTTAGTGCCTAAGGCACTTGACTGCTGCTAACCAGAAGGCTGGCGGTTCAAACCCACCAACCACTCCTGGGAAGGAAGGTTGGGCGATCTACTTCCATAGTGATACTGTCTTGGAAACCCAAGAAGGGGTCGCTATGAGTGGAGTCTGACTCGACGGCACATAACCAACAATTAACATCCAGAAGCCGAGGGGAAGGTGGGGGAGGGCCGTGGCCAGAGGAAGCCTTGAGGCCTCTCTTCTGGAACAACACGGCTCAGGCCACTGCCTGTCCGAGCTGTCTTCCCCCCGGCCTTCTGCGTTTCTGGTTCTGGTCCCCACCCCCACCTCCTTCAGAGAGCTCTGGGTCCCAGCTCACTGCTCCACCCGCTAGATCATCATGGACTCCAGCATCTCGAAGCAGGCACTGAGCGAGATCGAGACGAGGCACAGTGAGATCATCAAACTGGAGAACAGCATCCGTGAGCTGCACGACATGTTCATGGACATGGCCATGCTCGTTGAGAGCCAGGTGAGTGCCAGGGGCCCTGCCTGCCAGCCCCCAGCAGCAGCTAGGGCTACACTAATCCCTGCCCTTTCTGCCCGACACGCTGCTCCTGCCTGGGAGGGACCAAGCCTTCAGGTAACTAGCCACTTGCTGTTGACAGTGCCTCCGGGGCCCTGCCTACCCTGAAGGACACCCTCCCACCCCTGCATGGCTCTGCTTGGCCCTCCCCTAGGCCCAGCCTTGTCCTGGCTACCAGCCATTTCTGAAGTGCCCATGGGGGACCAGGCATTTCTAGGAGCTGAAGGTATAGTGTGATTAGGACAGATGAGGGCTCTGCTTCCTGGAGGAAATGTCTGGTGAGAAAGGGCCCAAAACTCCACTGCCATCCAGTCTATTCCGACCCACAGCGCCCCTAGAGGACAGAGTGGAACTGCCCCATAGAGTTTCCAAGGCTGTCAGTCTTTCCAGAAGCAAAGGCCAAAACCAAACCCACTGCTACGGAGTCGATTCTGACTCACAGCGCCCCTAGAGGACAGAGTGGAACTGCTCTGTAGGGTTTCCAAGGCTGTCAGTCTTTACAGAAAACCAAAACCAAACTCACTGCTGTCAAGTCGGATCCGACTTATAGCGACCCCTCCTTGGTTTCCAAGGCAGTATCACTATGGAAGTAGATGGCCCAACCCCGAGGAGTGGCTGGTGGGTTTGAACCTCCGGCCTTCTAGTTAGTAGTCAAATGCCTTAGGCACTATGCCATCAAAGCTCCTAGTCTTTACAGAAGCAAAGCCCAAACCAAAGCCACTGTCAATCAAGTCGATTCCAACTCCTAGCGACCCTAGGTCTGCCCCATAGGGTTCCCAAGGCTGTCAGTCTTATAGAAGCAGACTGCCTCATCTCTCTCTCATGGAGTGGTCGATGGGTTAGAATTGCTGACCTTTTTGGTTAACCGAATGCTTTCACCACTGCACCACCAGATGGAAGGCTCTAGTTGTGCCAGGTGCTCAAGAGATGTTCCAAGGAGGCAATGTAGCCGAGCAGTGGTTCTCCAGCTGTCCCCCTGGAAGACTTATAAGTTTCCTGGTCCCCATTCCCGGAGATTGGTAGGTCAGGGTGAGGGCCCAGGAATTGTCATTTCTGTCAGGCTTAAGGGTGAGGTTGGTGCTGCTGGTCCGAGGACCCTGATAGAATGAGGGGCAGCCACTTTGGATGAGGTGGTCAGGGAAGGCCTGTAAGGTGGTGACATTTGAGCTGGCCATTCCGACTTTCCAGGGGAAGAGTGAAGAGCTGGCCCCGGGCAGAGGGACCAGCATGTGCAAAGCTCCCGAGACTGGTGAGAGCTTGACTGATCTGAGGACCAGAAAGTGGTCTGTGAGGCTGGAGTACAGAGTGGTGGGAGACAAGGAAGCTGGAGATGCGGTAGACTGGGCTGGCAGTGGTGATGCGTTTGTATTCCCTTCTAGATTAGAGGGTTTTAAGTATGGACGTAATGTGATCTGAGTTGAAGAAGCAGGTTGGCCGTGGGGAGGAGAGACCAGTGATACGAATGTTGGTGGGTGGCCGTGGCCGTGGAGTGAGCAGTTAGGTTATCAGCATGTTGTTTTCAGGAGTCTTGGGGCAGCATCACAGTTGGATTGGCCTTTCAGGGGCAGATTGGAACCAGACTGAGGGCTGTGGTGTGGGGATGACTTGCCAGGCCTGGGCTGGGCAGGGAGATGAAGGGCATGACAAGCCAGGGGCTCTTCACTGTTGAAGACCACAGACCATCAGAGCTGGAGGGTGGAGAGGCACTCAGTGCGGTCACCAGACAGGCACAGACTCCAGTCCACTGGCTCCTGACGCTGCTTTTTTTTTTTTGCCTGGCATACGTCTGTTTCTAGAGCCAGGCACCGTGGGTCTCTGCATGGTTCCCAACCCTTTGGCTGACACTGCATGGCCGGTCCCCCCATGACTGCCCTGTGGGGAGAGCTGGGAGCTGCCTTGGGAGCTTGCTGTGTCCTCCATGACCCACCCAGGAGCCTGGCCTCAGGGGCACAGGTGAGAAAGTGTACCCCATTCCAACTCCCACTCCCCCTCTCTCTCCCACGCCTCAGGGTACTGTCCGCAAGTCCTGCCCTGAGCCCCTCCCGCCGCTGAGGAGGGGGCCCTCGAGCTCGGCTCCTCCTCGGCCCCACAGGGGGAGATGATTGACAGGATTGAGTACAATGTGGAACATGCGGTGGACTACGTGGAGAGAGCCGTGTCTGACACCAAGAAGGCCGTCAAGTACCAGAGCAAGGCCCGCCGGGTCAGTAGCCCCAGCTTGGCCCGAGCCCACGTCCCCTATGACAGCCCCTTTCCCAGCGCCCCTAAGCCGCCCCCAATCCCTCCCCATTCTGCATTTCTCCCTCCTCTCAAAAGCCCTAACCAGACCCTTCACCTGACTTCAGTTGTACCATTTATTGTAACCCCTTCCTAGATCAATTCCAGGGCGTCCCCTCTCCCCGCCAACCCTCATTATACCCCGACACGTGCCTGTGCCCCTTCGCTGTTTCCGTGCCACGCCCCTCCAAGCTCTGCCCAGAACCGGCCCCCCCCACCGACAGCTCCCGCCCTGCTCACGCTGAGGCCTCCTCCCGCCTCCCGCAGAAGAAAATCCTCATCGTCATCTGCTGTGTGGTCCTGGGCATCATCATCGCCTCCACCTTCGGCGGCATCTTCGGGTAGAACGCGCACTGCTGCTCCACGGACGGTCCGCCTGGGAGGCCCCTGGCTGGGAGCGCCCCCTGCCCCATGCCGCTCCTCTCGGCCACAGGGCCCTCCATCCCTGCCCTGCCCTGAGCCATGTTGTGTGCATGATCTTTGTGACAGTGTGTCTGTACAGAAGAGGCAGAGGGGAGCCAGACTGGGCAACGGCCCACGGGGTGGGGACGGGAGTCTAGAAGGGACAGACTCAGGTCCTGGCTCAGACTGCCTCCCCGTGACTGGGCAGGGCTGTGCAGGGCAGCACCACCACCCTCCCCTACCCCCCCCCCCCGCCAGGCAGGGCTGTCCAGGACAGTACCGCCCCCCTCCCCTCCCTTCAGTAATTGCCCTGGGGCCTTGGGTCTGCCCTCCCAGGTACCAAGGCGCTCTGGACCACCGTCTTGCCTCCAACTGACCCGCCCATCTGCCCTTTCCTTTGGCCTCTCCAGCTGTCACCCCAAGCTGAGCCCCAAGGGCTGGGGGAATAGCTGGCCACATGGTGCTGCTTTTCAGGTTAGGGCAGGGGTGGCCCCGAGGGACAGCCCAGCTCTGAGCCTGATAGCCGATCACTGCCAGGGAGGCTGAGGGACCATGGCTTCCAGTCCCCTTCCCGACCTGGGGTAAAGCCGACAGATCTTAATCTTAGGCTCCCTTGGCTTCATCCTCCCTTTACCCACCCCCATTCCCACAGCCCAGGAGCAGCCCCTTCGGCCTAGGTCTGCCCCAGGTGACCCTCTGGAAGAGGCTGCCTGGTGTCCTGCCCCAGTGGCCCTTGGAGCTGGGGAGGCAGGCTAGGCCCCATCAGCACCTGCCTGGCTGCAAGGTGCAGCCAGCCCAGCCACTGACCCCGGCAGGCCTCGGCTGGGTCTCAAGCCATTGTGTGTTGCATGTTTGGGACAGTGGTCCCTGCTCTTGTGCTCTGGGAAGTCAGCAGTTGTCACTTCAGGCTGCAGTCACGTCCTCCTCTTGCTGTCCCGCTGATGTGCCATGTGGGCGTCAGGTGTGTCATGCAGTATTCAGCAGCCAGCCAGGGAGGGGCCCCCCCAGCCCCCCTTCCTCCCCCACAAACAAGGAGTGTGCATGCCACTGCATGCAGCGGGCGGCCCTCTGGACCCCCCCTCAGCTTCGCTCCTGCCGTGACCACCGTCCGTGTTGCCTTTGACAGCCACTCCCCCTCCTCCACCCCTTTGCCAAAGGTCTTGGCACAACCAGCTGCCCATTTTGTGAGATTTTTACGTAGAATAAACATTTGTATCTGTACCAGGCCTCTTCTCTGCATTTCTTACTGTTGGCAGGTCACAGCGTCGGACGTGCGAGTGAATGGATGTGGCACCGAGAAGGGGCTGGGAGGCAAAGGATCTCACACCCCTTCCCTCAGCTCCACCTCTGGTCTTGGACAGGAAGGAGCCCTCAGTGGGTAATCCTCAGCCTTTTCTGAGGGCAGGCCCCCTCCTGCTTGGTGCCCAACGCCTGCTCTGTCTTGCACGGCTCACGCCAGTCCTTCTCACCACTTGCCAGAAGTCTCAGCAACTAAAAGACCCTGCTCCCGTCTGCCTGCTAGGTGGTCTCCCACAGCTCCAGTGTCCAACACAGAAACTCAGAAAACAGCTGGAAAATGCCAGCAAGCCAGAGAGCTCACAGAGAGTGGTTTATTCCAGAACAAAATACGATGCCCTCGGAGCTTTTCTTCAGAAGAAAATGCTTTTAGGCAACACAACTTTGTTCAAACGCTGTTCTGTCAAGTGATCAAACAGCCGCTTCAGGAGGGAAAACTTGTTGGCATAAGTGCCTGGCTAGATGTTAAGGTCACACCTGGGATGCAGGCCTGTCCCAAGGCCGCAGCTGGTGCCTAGAAACGGGGCTTGCGCTTGCGCCCGGTGTACTGAGTGTCAGGCCTGACCTCCCTGTGCCAGAGAAAAGATGGGTGGGAAGAGCAAACCGTCAAAAAAGAACAAGAAGCCCCTGGGACACCCCTGGATACAGGTGGGTCTCTGGCAGCAGCAGACGCTCTCCCTCCCCCTTCCCCATGCCAGCTCAGGTACTCACACCCTCCCTCCCCCCTCCCAGCCAGGTACTCACACCCCTCCCCCTCCTAGCCAGGTACTCACACTCCCTCCCCCTTTCCCAGCCAGGTACTCACACACCCCCTTTCCCCCTCTCCCAGCCAGGTACTCACACCCCCTCTCCCCGCCAGGTAGGTACTCACACCCCTCCCCCTCTCCCAGCCAGGTACTCACACACCCCCTCTCCCCCTCTCCCAGCCAGGTACTCACACCCTCCCCTGCCTCACCTGGACAGGTCCTCACACCCCCCTCCCTTTGCCCAGTCAGGTACTCACCCCCCCCAGTCAGGTCCTCACACCCTCCCCCGCCACGCCCAGCCAGGTACTTACTTGCCCTGCCGCCTGCGCCGCTCTTTCTTTTCCAGCACCCACTCCCGGCTCTTCTTCACCACCCCTCTCCTCGCCACCTTGTACGGGACCCTGTGTGGAGACAGGAGCCGTGCGCGGCTGGGCAGGGCTGCCTGGTGCAGCAGTTACCCCAGGCAGACACCGGCAGCGGCTTTCTCGAGTCAGGCCACCAGTCCCCCTTCTTTCAAATGCCCAGTCTTCCCTTCCACAAGAGAAGCCCCATCGCAGACACCTCGCCTCGATGGTAACAAGGCGACTGACTGTATGGGGGCTGGAGGGGCAGGCGTCTCCAGGGGGTGTGCACATACCCTGCCTGTGGGGCAGACCCAGCACAGCTACTTCAGGAGCAACCCGAGCTATGACAGCCTCACAAGCTATGACAGCCTCACGAGAGGGTGGGACAGCGCGAGGAGAGCCACGTCAGGCCTAAGTCTGATTTGGGGCCAGCGTCCCTGCCACAGACCAAGAGGGCCTCCCTGGTAATAACAAATGTCTGAGGCAGGAAAACAAGGCCGCCCAGCTCACAGCAGCCCCGACGGTAATCCTCCAGGCTGATCTGGGCCTCTTGCCCTGGCTGAGGAGAAAGGGGACCCCACAGCCCCGGGGAAAAAAGGCCAGGAGCAGGGGACACCGGGGACCCCAGACCATACCCCCAACTGGCAGCTGGGAGCGACTGCTTCCAGTGTAAGTCCTACCACTAAGCCTGCTTGCCATGAGTCACGGCCCCGGGTGCTCCAGCTGCCAGGAGCACCCATGACTGAACGGAGGCCTGAGGGCCTGGGCAGTGGCAGGGGCCCCACACAGCAGGCCAAGTGAGCGCAGGGCCCAGGGGCTGTGACGGTGGCTGAGGGAAGGAGAAACATGGGCCGAGGGGAGGAGCTGGTATTTCTACAGCAGAAGTGAGAAAAGACAGCTCCAGACAGGAGGCAATACATGAAAAAGGCCCCGTGACGGACTGAAAGGGGAGGCCAGGGAACAGCAAACAGTCCTGTTTGGCTGGACTCCTGGGCACAAGGAGACGGGCAAGGCGAAGGCCAGACTGGCGGGCTGGGCCGATTCACGGAGGACATGTGGTCCCCCAGGAAGCAGCAGGGAGTCTGAACGTTTTATCCCCTGGGAAGGCACCATGTGATCTCGACTCTAGCAGAGCGCACAGAGGCCACAGCTCAGGCCAGAAGCAAGCGGGCCCACCACGAGGGCACAGGAAGAAGGGAGCGGGGTGGACAGATGAGGGGAGGTGGGGGAGGAACCCAGCAGACCCTGGCGGCAGCCCCGAGAAGCCGGTGTGGGGGAGCCAGCCCGTCCCCACGTGAACGCCAAGTCCGATGACCAGGGGCAGAGCAGGGGGCAGCTGCAAACTTGGGGCTCGAAATGCCAGAGGATGAATCCTAAAGAATCTAGAAGGAAGTGAAAACTGGGGGGGGCGGGGGTGGGCAGTGAGTAAGGGGCAAGGTGTCAGCCAAAGGAGGAACAGGAGTCATGGGGGGAGGTAAAGGGAGCAGGTGAAGATGAGGACAGCCCCGAACCGCAGGTGCTGAGAGAAGTGGGGGTCTGCAGGGCCAGAGCCAGGGAGGTGGGTGGGCTGAGGCAAGTCTTCCGACTGATGGATTAGAAAGCCTCTGGACTTTTAAGAGGCAGGGTGGAGGCTTACCGTCTGCTAGAGCCTGGTGAAACCCACGAGACTATGGCCCCTGGTCACCCTTTGGGTCTGGAATTGAACTCACTCCCGTGGCTTCCAGCCACACAACAGACAGGCATGTAAGGTGAACATTTATACCAGATAGATTCGCTCCTTAGAGCCATCAACCGTGGAAGATCAGCAGGGCAGTATATACACAGGGAGAGAGCTCAGAGGGCAGGAAAGAAGGACACAGGGAAAAGGTAGGACACGGGGAGGAAGTGGGAAGAGAGCTGTTACACTGTGGGGACTGCAGTCAATGTCATGAAACCAAAGGTACCACGGACTGCCAGAAGAATGAACAAATCTGTCCCAGAGGAAGTACAGCTGGAATGCTCCTTGGAAGCGAGAATGGCCAGACTTCGTCTCACCTACTTTGGTCATGTTGTCAGAAGGGACCATTCCCTGGAGAAGGATGTCATGCTTGGTAAAGTGGGGGGTCAGCGAAAAAGCGAAAGGCCCTCAATGAGATGGATTGACGCAGTGGCTGCCAGGACGGGCTCAGGTGCAGCAAGGACACGAGGACTGTGCGGCTCCTGCGGGACGGGGCAGTGATCTGCTCTGTTGTACGCAGGGTCGCGATGGTTCAGAGCCAACTCGACGGCACTAAACAACAGCAACGTTTCTTTTTCCTATAACTGGCCTGACTATGATTAGACAGAAGTGACAGTAACGGAAGTCACCAATTATCTTTCCAGTGGGCAACAGAGTCTCCACCAAAGCTGAGAACTAGGGAGTGAAAGCCTGCAGAACAAGGCAGAGCCCTCAACAGCCATGTCCTGGGCTCAGTGCCTGCCCAAGTGGTGGTATAAGGCCCCTCTTTTGAGGTGCCGAGGAATGGATGGGCTGAGGTTACAGAACGTGGTCACGCTTACAATCAGGACCTGTCGTCTACGGACACCAGTGTGAGGACAAGAGAGACCTAAGTGAACGTTTTATCCCCCAGGAAGGACACAATGTGATCTGGACTCTAGCAAAGTGCACAGAGGCCAAGCTCAGGCCAGAAGCAAGAGGGCCCACCACTAGGGCACAGGACCTAAGCAACCTGGACGTGCTCTGTGAAGGAAGAGACGCGAGCGAGAAGGGCCACCAGTCATGGGCACCTCAGAGCACAACAATCTAGACTAGGCCCTGGCCACCCATAGGAAACGGGCTGGGGAAGCCAGGTGACCTCCGAGGGCCAAGGGTCGTTGTCATGGTTAGGTGCCATTTGGAATTAATTTTGAGTCACGGGGACTCCGTGTGACAGCAGAGCTGCCACGTAAGGCATCCTAAACCCATAATCTTTAAGAAGCAGACTGCCAGGGCTTCTTCCCGCGGAGTCGCTGGGTGTGTTTGAACCGCCCACCTTCAGTTGGCAGTGCTTAACCCCTGCGCCCCCAGGACTCCTGAGGGCTCAGACGGCGTAAATCTGCTGTGGACGCGAGGCACGCGCTCGTGGTTTTCACCAGTGCTGGCCCTTCCAGAGTCACTCGCGCTCTGCCTGTTCCACTGTCCCCCTTAAGACCTTTCACTCACGTCAACCAGAACGAAGAAATAACATTCTTCCTCACTACCTTAGAATGAATTATTCATTCAAGAAATAGTGTGCACTGATTATTAACAGCTATTATTCCTGATATCCCCACTGAGTGTTCACTCTAGCTGGGGAAACAGATAAAACCCAAGTAAACAAATACAATTTCAAACAGTAAAAGGTGCTAAGAAAAACAAGGAAAGGTAAGAGATACTCACTGAAGACGCTAAATCACACGATGTGATTTACATTAAAAAAAAAAAAAAAAAGGAAAAGATCAGTCTTACAGCTGTGCGGGAAGGAGGCAAAGACTGAGAACATGGAGACACCAGGCATCCGACAGTGACCCAGGAAGAGGTAGGGACTTAAGCCAGGCAGGATGGGGAAAGGGCCATACGAGACCTGCTGAAGGACTGAGCATGGGATGTAAGGACAGACAGATGACTGAGCCAGTGAAGAACGGGAGGAAGTGTCGGGGAAGTCCTGGTCTGGACGCTGGGAGGCAGACGCTGGGACCGCAGCCATGAACTGACAGCCAGCCTTGAGAGCGGCGTAGAGAGAGAAGGGGTCCAGGCTGGGCCCAGGTACTCCACAGGAGTCATCCACACAGTGGCCTGGGAAGGAACAGCAGGTGAAGTAAGAGAAAACCAGGAGCGGAGGAGGCCTCAGAAAACCAAGTAAAGAGAAAGCGATCGGCTGGGAGACCCTCCTGAGCAGACAAGGTCCGAACAAAGGAAAAAGGACCAAAAAGAGACCGCAAACCTGGCAAGATGGCGGTGCTGGTGACCCTGCACATGTGTGACATGGACTGGGAGACCTGGGAGACCAGCAGCAGAGGAAGCAAGCGGCAGCAAAGAGCAGGGAGGAGGCCGTGAGGAGGAGCAGAGACCCGCAGTCGCTGGACGCTGTCACCGGGTGGAGAGGGTCTCCAGACCTGTGCAGCTGTCTGTGTGCAGGTGGGAAGGACCCAGGCGAGCAGAAGTGAGGGCACAGGAGGGGGAGGGGCAGGAGAGCCCCGGGGGCCAAGGGGGACACAGGTGAAGAAGGGGAGCCCCGGGGAAAGAGAGACAGCCTGTGGCAGGATGGAGGGGACGCGAGCAGACTCGCAAAGGGTGTCCAGGCTTCGCAGTGACCCACACACATCCAGAAGGGCCCCGGCCCATGAGGCTGGAGTGGGGACAGTCCAAAGGGGTCTCCGGTTCTAATACCACCGGTGTCACTGCTGCGTATAAACCTGAGACCTGGACTGAAGCCGAGCAAAGCGGAGTCCTGCTGCCGCCAGCTTCCTCCGCCACGTCCAGCAGACCTGGCTGCGGTGAAGCCGGCGCCTGAGGCCAGCTGAGCGAGGCCTTTACCTCTCTTTCGTGAACGTGGACTCCTTGTCCTCGACTCCGTCTTTTTGGTCACTCAGCCCCTATAAGAACCAAAGTGCTCTTAGACCATCCGGAGATCTCTCAACCCACTTGCCCCACCCCACAAGGGCTGAGCCCTTCCGTCAGGTGCCAACCCAGTCCCAGAGCAGGGACCACCACTGCACTTTGGGACCTGGAGAGCGGAAGTCTCTGCTCCAGATTCCAGAGGATTCAGGCAGGCCTGGCTCCATACTGTGGAGCCTGCTCTACTCGTGTGCTCCCAGCATTCTCCTCAGGTAAGCCCCAAGTCTAGAACCCAAAAGACACAGGCCCGCAAACCCAGGGCCTCTCACCTTTGGTAGAAAGCTCGAAGGCCCAGAAAACAAACAGAGGTAGAACCTGAAACGAGAGTGCCAAGTGAGGTCCTCCCCATCTCCCTCCCATCGCTGGGAGCAGAGAGTATGGGCCTGCCTGCCTGGGTCCTGAGGCCCCAAGCCCGCATTGCTCTGGTCCACTCAGCAGTGGCCTCAAAGGGCTCGCTCGGGACCCTCCCGCTCCAGCCCGGGCAGCCCCCTGGCCTGAGCACTCACTTCTTTGCTTTGGCACTGTTGGGGTAGTCCACCACCACGCCCCCAGTGAAACCAGCCTTCGTGGCCTGGGTCGTGATCAGCTCTAACTGCGAGGGAGGAAGACTGCGAGTCAGACAAGGGCGGGTGCAGGGGCAGACGGCTCCCCGCCCCTCCGGTGAAGCAGCCTGCCTGTCTGGCACCAGGAGGGACCTTGCCTGGGTGAACTAAAGACCCTTATCACAGCCTGTTCCCAACTCTGAGACCTAAAAAGTCCTGCGGAGGAAAGCATAGGCTAGAACCAGCCTCCCTCCCCTGTCACTTTCCAGTCTGGGGAAGGACCCATCTCCCCACTCAAATCTCAAAAACTGGCCATCCACTGGGAGCCAGTCTTTCTGTTACTAGTCAGGTCAGTTCACCATTTGTCTTCGAAGTCTGTACTTCCTAGGTCTCCATACTTCACAGAACAGACACCTGTTGACATCCTCACACCCCAGTCACATCTGTAACCCCACCTTAGGATATCAGTCATGAACGTGGGGTCACAGGGACCACTCAGGTGTGCATCTCCCCTTCTCCCACCAATCAGCAAAAGGACCCTTCCCAAGAGCAGGAGGACAGATGAGTGAGGAGCAGGACCACCTGCCTGCTCTGGGGTCCCCCCCTCCCTGTACCTCCAGCGGCCCAGGGGCTCACCTGCTCCGAGTTTTCTGGGTACAACTGCAGGACAGCGCGGGCGCCACGGGCCTGCCAACAGAAACAGCACTATCTCACCAAAGCCCCGAGGAGTCAGGGCCTGGAGATCCTCTCTCCCAACATTCACCAAATCTTCACTGAGCTTCTGTTATGTCTACACACTGTTCTCAGAGCTGGGCACACAGGAGTGAAGAGAGTAAGCACACAAGGGCACGTATCCCCCAAGCTCCGGGAGCCCACGTTTCGGTGGGGGAGGCAGCTAATTGACAGTGACAAGAGCCAGGGAGAAAAATAAATTGGGACAAAGGGATGAAGAGTGACAGACACAGCTTCATTGACTCTGGTTCTAGGAAGAGGCCTCTCTCGGAGGCCACCTGGGCAGAGGTTTGAGTGTAGTGGGGAGCTCAAGATGGAGACCATGACACAACAGTATGTCAGCAGAAAGGGCAAACACAAGGGTTCCCAGAACTTCAGGACCAACCCCAGCATATGTGGAAGAGAGACCAGGTCCTGTGTCAGACCAGCCACCAGTTGGAGTATGCCATCCCCAGAGAACGGATGAGTGGGGAGAACTATGGAGACCAAGAACAGTTGCTTCACAGAAGTCTAAGAGCTCAATGTGGGCACTCTGGTCGGGGTCCTCACTCCGCTGACTCCATGGCCCCACACCAACTGTTGATTAAAACTCAGCACAGTGGATACACAAGCAGTGACTAATAAGCAGGCTCTATTCCAAATCAGTACATTGGTCTTGGGTTTGATATCACTGTTGTCTGGGTTTGCTTAGGGACAGTCAGCCCACTGAGCTTGATCTTCTGTTTAGGCTGAGGACCTGGACAGAAGTGACCACAACCAAGTCCATGTGGTCCTACCTTAAAGGCCTTCCCATGGGAGACCTCTTCTTCATCACTGTACCTGCAGGGCAAGGGAGGGACAGCCAGCCAGCCCAGGCGGAGAGGGGAACTCATACTCACCAGAATGGAATAAAGAGAGGAGAAAAAGCAGTACAGGCGCTTGGCAGGGTTGTCGGACTTCTTGTTAGCATTACAGAGCCACTGCACAGCAGAAATGCTAAAAAGGAAGGAAGGGACCTAGTCAAGAAAGGGACCAACATGGGCTGTTCCCCTGCCCCTCGGGAGACCCTGACACCACACACCCAGGTGACACCTCCAGGTGACACCCTCCTGCCCAGGGTGTCTTTCGTGGAATGTACGGGTCCACGCCAGGTCACCCTTTGACAATGCTGTACCCAACAGAGTCTACAGAAGGCCACATTTACACCCTTGTAGCCGACCTAAGGAAGTATCTTCTCAAGCTTGTTTCTACACACCTCTGAACTTACACATATGACTCAGTGCACCACAACTATCTTTGCCTGCCGCTCCTTCATTCCCTTCCTCCAATCAAGGGAATCTGGGAAATTCCCTTTTTCACAGACACAAAGCCATTCCCTCACCCTCCTAACCTGCCTCCTTCCACTCTGTCCGTCAAGTGTCTCCAGAGTCCCCGTATTTCACACCTCAGGCACCTACTACCATGCCCTCTGCTCTGGCCTCTCGTCCTCACTGCTGTGCACACACCCACAGACCTCCCAACTCTACTACCATCCGACCGCCTCTCCCAGTTTTTACTTCTTCTCTCCTATGAGGCTCTGGTGGTTCAGTAGTAGAATTCTCGCCTTCCATGTAGGAGATCCGGATTCAATTCCCGGCCAAGACACGTCCTAACCACTACCACCCGTCTGTCAGTGAGGCCCTGTGTGTTGCCATGAGGCTGAACAGGTTCCAGTGGAGCGTCCAGACTGAGAGGGACCAGGAAGAAAGGCCTGGTGATCCACTTTCCAAAACTGTGTCAGTGAAAACCCTACGGGTCACCAGTCTCGCCCATAACTGATCATGAGGCCGGCACAGGGCCAGGCCACGTTTTGTTCCACTGAACGCCGGGTCGCCATGAGTCGGGGCCAACTCATCTTGGCAGCAAGAACAACTGCTCTCCTGGGTCAACCCTCACGACCATTTGATTGGATTATTCTTAGGATGGGGTCAAAAATGTTCTGGGAGCCAACCCCACACAGTCTCATGTCCACGCTCTTTCTCATTCACCCCTACGGTCCAACCAGGTTCCTCTCCCCACCCGCCCTGCCTTTGCTCCCTGTAGTCCTCCACTTCTTGACCATCCAAACTCCTCCCACCCTCCAAGGCCCGGCCCCTCCTCCTTCTTGAGGCTCTCCCGTGCTCTGACGCCTTTTCAGAACCCTGTTGGCCCCGTGCCTCCCTTCCTGTACACCTCACTCTTGGCTTTGTGCTTAATTGCCTGGCCCGTGTCCCATGCTACCTAATCAACTATGGAGATTCGTAAAGGCAGGCACTGTTTCATTTTTACAGACTCCTGTCACCTTGTACAATGTCTTACACGGAGCAAACGTTAAAAAAGAGAAAAAGAAAGTTTGCTGTCAAACTATCTTTCCTCTTAAAAACCAACAAACAACAAAAATGGACTCTTTACTCCTCAAGCATACAAACCACACCACTGATCCTTGATCTTTACAGGCCAGAACATCTCACTGAATTATTATGAGAAAGCATTTGCCACCCTTGAGAGGGTCTCTTTTTTCCTTCAACAGAACAGGACTGTGAAGTAAGACTTTGCTAAAATTATTTCATATATGAAGACAGAAAGGTTACATTCTCTATCAAGTGATAAAACTAAATTGGCACATTTGCTCCACCTGGTGCATCGCTGGTAAGCCCCTGTTAGCTTGCTACCAATCCCAGACAGTCAATGAATTTGAGCTTGGCTCTTTGCTTAAAGGCAGGGTTGAGAAGCAAAATAAAAGCCATTAATAAAGTGAGGGGGGAAAAAAGGTGGGGGGGTGTTTCTCTTTTTTTCAGTCTCATTCCCAGATGTTAACTAATCCCTTACCTAAAAGAAAACCTTCAAATCCAAATTCCTAGCCCTACCCTGATGCCTTGGGAGCTCTGGTAGCATAGTGTCTAAGGCATTTGACTGCCCACCAGAAGGCTGGCAGTTCAAACCCACCAGCCACTCCTCGGAAGGAAGATAGGGCAATCTACTTCCATAGTGATACTGCCTGGGAAACCCAAGGAGGGGTCGGTCACTGAGACAGGGCCAACTCCACGGCAGTGGGTCTGGTTTGGTTCTTTTTTGGACCCTGACGCCTGCCTCCTTGCCTCTCAACCTAGGATCCCAGGAGCAGGTCTGCATACAGGCCCTGATTAAGCTAGGCCTTCCTGCCTTCCTCTCCCATTCCCTACCTCCACCCCGGCAAGGAAACACAGCACCATATATGAGACAGAACTTAATCATGGAAGACAAAGAAAAACATCATGTTTCTAACAGGAATTTCCATTTTCTAAGATGTGTTTTCAAAGTAACATGTACACGCTCCAAACTCAAGTACCTTGACTCTGACCACTGACGTAGAACTCCCAAGCCACTCAAGAAAATGGAGCAGTGGCCAATGCCCACTACAGAGTTCTTGAAAGAGAAGGCAACAATATGGCTGCTGGGCCCAACAAGATGATGCCGAGGGGCTCAGAGACATGCCTCTCCCACCCCCACACAAAGCAGAAAATCTATACCAGTGGTGTTGAACCTGGCATTGCAAGATAATCACAGGACTAGACGGTTTTGAAAGGCCAAAAACACACGCTCCTGGGCCTTGCTCTGACTTATAGATTTGAAAACCCCAGGGATGTGCATTTTTAAGTATCCCGTGGGTCTCTGCTGCACAGGTTTAGGAAGTACCAGGAGGAAGGACTAAAAGCAGGAAGTGAGGACTCTCACCTGATACAACCATCAAAGGAACCTGGTTTGAAGGGGATGCCCTGGCCCATGTCTCCAAGAAGCAGGTCTCCCTCTGTGTCTCTGTCCAAGGCCGTGTCTACGTTGGAGAAGAGGAAGTCAGGGAAACAGATGACAGGCACAGCTGCTCCACACTCAGTGCCAAAGGGGAGGGACACACTTACCCAGCATGGCGGGGCTGATGTCGATGCCCACCCAATAGTGGCCCTCTTCTGAGAGATAATCCCCACTCAGCCCTGAGCCACAGCTGGAAGACAAAATCAAACAGGGACTCAGCAGTGCATAGCTGACATGCCACCTGGACCAGCTGAGCCAGCCCCCAGGATCTTACCCAACATCCAGCAGGAAAGAGGGCTGCCCCTCAGGCAGGCCAAGGAGCTCCAGCGCTCGCTCAGCCATCCTGGTCTGGATGTCAATCATCCGTGAGCTGCAGAGCAGAAGCACAAGTGACTGGGGAGGGAGTTCTGGGCCAACACTTCCCCTAGATCCACAAAAGCCAAGAAAGGAAGGGACAACCATACCGAAGGGCTCTTTCCTGATCCCTTCACATGGTTATTCTCACTACCATCAAGTCGATTCCAACTCATAGAGAACCTGTTGGGTTCCAAGGCTGTAAATCTTTACAGAAATAGATTGCCCCATCTTCCTTCTGCAGAGCGGCTGGTGGGTTTGAACTGTAGACTTTTCAGTTAGCAGCCAAGTGCGTTATCCACTATGCCACCAGAGCTCCTTAATTCTAATTTGGGAGCAACAAATTCAACAACAACATGACCCCAAAAGTCCAAGGCATACAGCAGTATGAGGTGTAAGGAGCAAATCCCTTAAGTTAATGACCAACCATCGGGTATCTGCAATTCTATTAGGAGCTCTGGTGGCACACTGCTTAAGGCATTTAACCAGAAGGTTAGTGGTTCAAACCCACCAGCCACTCCACGGAAGGAAGGCTGGGCAATCTACTTCCATAAAGATTTACCACCTCGGAAACCTAAAGTGGGTCACTATGAATCAAAATTGACTTGATGGCAGTGAGTTTGGTTTGTTTATTACTTGCTAAGGTTCTATTTCCAGAGAACCATCATCATTGTATGCCATCTGCGATTCTTAGTAACCCTATGAGTAGAACTGCCCCATAGGGTTTCCTAGGCTGTAATCGCTACAGGAGCACATCGCCAGCTCTTTCAACCGAGGAGCCCCTGAGAGGGTTTGAACCACCACCCTTTTGGTTTGCAGCAAAGCGCTTAACTAATGCACCATCAAGGCTCCTTTCTCCACCAGTTATCCTCATACCAAAAAAAAAAAAACTTACTGCCTTTGAGTCGGATCCAACTTATAGTGACCCCTCCTTGGGTTTCTGAGGTAGTATCACTACCGAAGTAGATTGCCCCATTTTCCTTTCCAAGAAGTGGCTGTGTGTTTGAACCACCAGCCTTCTGGTTAGCAGTCAAATGCCTTACGCACTATACCACCAGAGCTCCCTTTATCCTCATACATAAGGGTTAATTAACAATGCTTTTGCACAACAAAAAGAGCACTGTCCATGAGAAACTTAACACAAGCCACATAGGACATATTAGTACCCATGGTTTAAAAGATATTAGATTATTTGCTTAATCTAATTAATATTGTATTTGACCTAACCCAATATGCCCAAGATATTATTTCAACACATAACCAACAACAACAACAAAAAAGATCAGTAACATATGTTTTCCTCATACGAGGTGATTTGGACTATCATTGTTGTTGCTAGGTGCTGCTGAGTCGTCTTGACCCATAGGGACCCTGTGCACAGCAGAACAAAGCACTGCCCCAATTCGCCCCAGCTCCACCATCCCTGCTATTCAGACTAGCCACCTGTCAACAGATGGCCGGCCACTGGCTACCTTGTTGGACAGAGCAGGTCTACAGAATGACATAACTGGCCTTCTCAAAACCAAGGGAAAGAATCCTACAGGACAGTTCTCAAAAGGCCTAAAGTGTAACACAGGGCTCTGCAGCTAGGAGGAAAAAAGGCTTCCATTCGATCCATGACAATTGACCTGAGATTTCTGCTGACTTAATTTGATCAGAAAGCTGCAGGTTTTTCTACAGGAGGAGTGTAGTGACAAGCGCACGCCTGGAAGTCCCAGCTCTAGCCCTAGTCTGCTAAATGACTTTGTAGTTACATATGGAACTAGCTTCTATAACATTCTGATAGTATCTCTGGGTTGTGAGGATCAGCTGAGATCGCCTCAACCAATACAATAGTATTCTAAGAATCCTATTTCCCTTCCGATAGTACTGACAGCTTACACACATCCACTGCCTAGCTCACCACATGCTTCAAAACAAGTCACCGCGTGGGATTCTGAAAACAGCCTAGAGAAGTAGATGCCATCACCCCCAGTGTAACGATACGGTTACGAAGGCCCAGAGGATTCGGTGATTTACGTAAGGTGCCTTTGCCAGTGGAAGAAATGGGATCAACCCAGGTCCCCCCCTTCTCCCCCACCAAATTCTACGTGCTTTGCAAGCACAGCCCGTAGTCAGGGTCTCGCAGGCAATGTGCCGGTTCCCGACCCCCGACACCGCGTGATATTCAGGCTCCCCTCACTTGCGAACGTATTTCCGGGCTTCATTCTCGTCGTAAAACTACAGGAAAGAAAAAGAGAAAGCGGCGGTAAGGGGAGGGCTCGAGACGCTGTGGTCCAGCAAGAGGAGAGAGGGATGACGCTGGCTACAGCCTCACCAGCTCCGGGGGTCCGCCATGCTCCGGCCTCCGCCCGCGGCAAGCCATGCTCGGGTCTCAACAACACGCCAGTTCCGAAAGGCTTCCAGGCTCCGCCGTCACGCCATTGGCCTGGAGACCGCCTCCTAATACGCATGCTCCACCCCCCCTCTCCCCGCCCTCTTTTTACCTGATTGGCTGCAAGGCCGACGCACTGCAAAGAACTCGGGCCTGCAGTTGGCCAGTTTCTCTGGCACCGCCTGATCCCATCCAAGATGGCAGCCAAGTGCGATAGGAGGTGGCTGCGGTTGTTTCTGTGGAGGTTGTGGCAGGCCCCGGGAGCCCTACCAAATCCGGGATCGGGCCTGGGCCTAGGGGTGAGGACTCGTGCCCGGAGCGACGGCCCCTATTCGCGCACGGCGCTCTATGAGCTGCTTGGCGTCCCCTCCACAGCCACCCAAGCGCAAATCAAGGCGGCGTACTATCGGCAGAGCTTCTTGTACCACCCTGACCGCAACTCCGGGAGCACGGAGGCTGCCGAGCGCTTCACCCGCATCTCCCAGGCCTACGTGGTGCTAGGCAGTCCCACCCTCCGTCGTAAGTATGACCGCGGCCTGCTTAGCGACGAGGACCTGCGCGGACCCGGCGTCCGGCCATCCAGGACGGCTGCGTCCGACTCCGGCCCTCCCCGCGGCCGGCCGGCGGCTTCTCGTGGCCGTAGCGGAGGCCAGGCCGCGCCGGGCGCCAACCGCACCATGTTCGACTTCGACGCCTTCTACCAGGCACACTACGGAGAGCAGCTGGAGCGCGAGCGGCGCCTGAGGGCCCGGCGCGAGGCTCTTCGCAAGCAGCAGGAGGCCCAGGCCAAGAAGGGCTTCGGCTGGGATGAGACCCGAGACACGGCTTTTCTCCTCCTCCTCCTTACAGTCTTCGTCATCATGGGCTTTCGAATTTAATCGGAGAGAGGAGGGAAGGGGAGCCAGCCCCCCAAGGAAACGGCCTTTCTGTGTTGTGAATCCTTTCTCTTCTATAGTCTACCTCTGCTGGGGCTCGGAAGGAACCATCTCTCCTCTACACTCCCCTACCTGCCCAGCTTAGCTGTTGACCTGCACATCCGTAAGATCCAGCAAAGGAGGCATGAGAAAGGCCCCAAGCTGAAGAATCCCAAAGGCCAGAGGTGAAGGGTCAGAGGTCGTTCTGGAGTCTCCCGGGGGCCTATTTCCAGAGGTTGCCTACCTGCTTTCAACTTCTGGAACACTTGCTCTGGCTTCATTGTAAAGCCCTGAGCAAGAATTGTGCCCTCCTGCCCCATATCTGTATGGTGGGGCTTCTCTGTAACCTTGACATGTGCAATGTGACCAATTGTTGGCTGCCAAAAGAAAAGTTCTGGGGTGTGCGACACTTGTCTTTGTGAGTTCCCCAAGCCACAGGTGAGATTTGACCTACTGTACTTCTGGTAGCATAGTGCCTAAGGCACTTGACTGCTAACCAGAAGGCTGGCGGTTCAAACCCACCAGCCACTCCTCAGAAGGAAGGTTGGGCATTCCTACTTCCATAGTGATACTGCCTCGGAAACCCAAGGAGGGGTCGCTATGAGTCGGGGCCGACTCGATGGCAAATAACAACAACAACAAGACTGTGATATGGGAGGATCTCACCATTCCTCTTCCTGTTGTTGGCCCCGGACCCCATTCCCCCTTCTGTTGGTGGCATGTGGGAGTAGGAAGACAAGGTCTTCAGGCATAAGGAAGGAATGAATGCTCCTGGGTCCATATTGTCTACTGTGTGCCCTTGGAGAGGTTTTCTGTGGCATGATGGCCAAGGAGAAAATCCCCCGCTCTTCTGAAAGCTGCCCTGCTTATTACTGACGGTTGTGTTGGGCTCAGTGGTTATAACATGATGCTGGTAGGGCCAGGTTCATCTGTGGAATAGTGTGCTAGTCACCTGATCACCCCTTTTCCAGCCAGCCTCCTTGCTGACTGCAGCCCATCCCCACGCAGAATAGAGCAAGAACTTCAGCCCTTGAGTTCCCTAGGGTGGTCCGTCCTCCTGTTCAGCATGAAGCACCTTTCACAAGGCCCATAAGCCAAGTCCTTGAAGGACAGCTGCTTAAGGTTGTGGGAAATGTTGAGGATTTGGAATAGACAAGACTTCAGAGGGACAGGGGGCTTGGTGGTCAACATGGACACTTGGTTCCTTGTTAAGAGCTGGTTGAGGTTTCTTTTATCTGTTTCTAATTGAGCAGTTGGTCATCACTTGGTTAGAGGTGTGGTAGGAAGGCTGTCTTAACCATCAACCACTGCACGTGGTGAAGGGGTTGTTTGTGGGACTGTAAGTGCTCGAGTCTTTATGCTCTGGGCTCAGTTTAAAGCTTTGAGATGGGGCGACTTTCAGGAGACCTACATAATAGCAAGACCTTAAGTCTAGGGGCAGGTTCACAGTGAGGTGCATTGGTAGACTCACTTGAATCCCACCATTCAATCTTGTGTGTAAAATCCTTGTATAAGTTGCCATTAGCCCGCAGCTAGTCCCACTTGTCCTTGGGAAGCCATTCAGTTCTTTAGCCGTGAAGGTCAGGGGCATGCTGTCAGCCCAAGCTTTGCAGCAACCACACAGTCCAGTGGAAAGATTTGCACCCACTCTGGTCCACGCCTGTTGGCTCAGTGGGCCTTAATTTGTGGGGAAGGGAGGTATGTGCTTTTAAAAAAGTACATATTACAGCAACATTTAATGCTGTGTTTCATACTTAGAAAATGAGACAAAATCTGTACTTTCTGAAATACAAACTGTAGGAAGCAAAGCTTAGCAACAAGTGCAGACTCAACCAAGAGGTGGGCCTAACAACTTCCTTGGAGCTAGAGCTTTTAGTTCTGTGAAAAGGGTTGGGGCTCTTTTTACTTTTGGTTAGTGAAAGTGCTGGTGGTCTATAACGACTGGGGCCTTTTTCATGGGCCCCTGGATAAAAACTACTCAAAGTTATTTTCTCTCATTGAAGATCACGTGCTCCATTCCTTAGGGTTTCAGAACCTGGAGCTATACAAAAAGTTCCAGAAGGTTTCAGGCAGGGAGGAGGGCCCAGAGTTCCTGAAATCTTCCAGAACATTCCATGTACCCTTACTCAGGGTGGTTAATGGAGCTTATTAATCGTCCAACTCTAAAGCTTCTCCCGCGGTCCGCTCCACTCTGGTGGTGGTCATCCCCACCTGCCTCAGGTCTTTTTAGGCTGGAGCTGAACACTTGAGTGGCCCCACTCCCCGCTCACCCTAAAACTGAGCCTGGGCTCTTTGTGGAAGATGAAGTGTGAGGGAGGCCTTCCAAAGGACCCCATCTGGTTCCAACATTTATCTCCCTGTGTGTCCTCTGGGACCGTCCTGGTCTTTGCTTTCTGTGCTGTTTCCCTGCTGAACCAGGCCCTGGACATTAACCTTTGCCTCCCAGGAGTTGTTCCCCAGTTCCTGATAGTGGAAGAAGACATGCCCCTTTTCTCCTTTTGGTCACAAAACAGTGAAAGCTCCGACCTGGAATGGGAGGTCTGGGCAAGAGGAAGCCACCCCACCAGGCTCAGAGTGGGGGGATGGGAGGGAAGGACTGGACTGTGTGAGCAGCAGGCACAGGTCCTAGTGGGAGACAGGCCGCTGGGCAGGGGTCAGCCGCACAGGTCTAGGCAGTTGTTGCTGTTGTCTGTGGATTTGATCAGGATGTTATTTTATTCCTACTGAGTCAAACTGCTTTCTCTCCATTGCCTTTCACTCGTTGCTCAGTGAAATGACCCTTACAGATCCCAGTGCTGAGGGAGTAGGATTTCTTGCCTCCTCTAAGTATTTCTTTCACTGGATGTACTTTTCCTTCTCTAATAGCCCCAGTATGTGCCAACGTTAATGATGGCCTCCCCTAGGCCAGCACTGTCATGCTCTGATGGACTGGAGGTCCCTCCATGGGGACCCCAACCTGAGGCAGAGGCCCCACGGTGAAGCCTGAGTGAATAGCACCAGCACTGCCTCTTTGGGAAGTGGGAAGGGCCTCTCTTGGACTTTTGGCTTCCTAGAAGTTCACCGGGAAGAGAGACAGAGAAGGCACAGATGGTAAGTAGAGGCACTGTTTCAGTTAACTCTTCCTTGAATCTCACTGCACTGGGAAAACGGACTCTATACTGGCCTGGGTTTCTCAGTTCCCCAGTCTGTGACGAGGTAACACACAGCCACATGCCCATGAGCGAGATCATGAGGGAAGACTCGCCTCACCTGCCCTCAGCATCTTGACTCTCAGACCCGACTTGCAGCCCCAGTGACCATTCGGTTTGTGCAAAGCAGCCGATTGTCCCTCTGTTAAGATGTGTTAAGATGACAGTGAGATCTGAGTCTGGACCTTGTGACCTTGCATATCAAGAACATGCGGGCTCCCATCCCCAAGAGGTCAGTGTAGAGAGTTCCTCTCTCTCCATCTGTCCGGTGGTCACAGTCTCACTGTGCATCTAGCCATGTCACTACAGTCTCTTCAGGCTGCCCCAGTGTTGGGAACCTAGCACTGGTCTTGAAGTGGGTTGGTCCTCTTATCTTGCCTTTGCCCCTTCATCGTTCCCATCTTCAACCCTGGGAAGGGACTGCCCCTAGAGGAAAAAAGGCCTGTCTCAGGAGGACCGAGAGCGCACAGATTCTTGGTTCACAGGCCACAGCCAACCTGCAGAAGATGCTTGGCTGGAACAGCGTCTTAAATGTAACCAACATTTAAAAATTGGGAGACTTCCTATAAAAGTCAACATTCTGTCTTCCAAAAAGTGAGACCCGTCGAGTCACCTGCCCACATTGTGCCACCATTGAGTCACATGCCCGTATTGCCACTGTGGGAGAAGCCAAGTGACATATGCCCTGTGACATAGGATCCTGCTCCCAGTTAGCTTTACTTTCCACCAACAGCGGTGAAGTGGAAAAGGCCGTTCATCGACACGCTGCCCCCTTTTTCTCTCAATAGAAAAGTATTTCTCTGTACCCTGTGTCTGTCAAGAAAGAAAACCAAAAAAAGGACCATGCATTTCCAGAAAAACGGAGGAGAGTGTATTTCTTTGTGGAAATGGCCCGCTGTGCTCCTCTGGTTCACCCGCCCGACGTCACGGGTGTTTGAGTTTGCAGACCCCTGGCCTGTAGTGTCTGTTGCTGCAGGAGCCCTCACTGTGCAGGAAGGCCAAACGTGAGTCTCATTTTCATTGTGGGACAGGAAGAGTCTTTGGAGAGGTCTGCAGTAATGGAAGGTCTTAGACAAAGCCGAGGTCTACTGGAACAGTAACACCAATTTCTTCACGCAATCTTTTGTGTAAAAGCCTTGTCTAAATTCTCAGCTAGTCTAACTTAGTCTCTTGGAAACCATTCGATTCTTTCTAACCTTGGAGGTCAAAGGCAAGCTCTCAGCCGTGGTTTTGTAGTGACTACACGATCCAGTGGTAAAAATCTGAGCCCACTCTGATTAAGGCCTACTTAGCTCAGTGAGGCTCGACTAGCAAAAGACACATTTGATATTAGCATGTTTCATATTTGAAAACAAGGGGGGAAAGTTAGTGCTAATCGCTAAGTAGTGATTCCCAAAGAAGGAGGTGTGTGTAAGTGACTTTATTGAGACAGCAACTTTGTTTTTATCAAAAAAAGTGGGAGTGGTGTTATTTGAAGACTTTTTGGTTTTGGTTTGTACAAACACTAACTCACTGCTGTCAAGACTCATAGCGACCCCTCCTTGGGTTTCGGAGGTGGTATCTCTACAGATGTAGATTGCCCAATCTTCCTTCGGAGGAGTGGCTGGTGGGTTGGAACCGCCAGCCTCCTGGTTAGCAGTCAAATAAATGCCTGAGGCAAACACTAGTGTTTAGGTGTATTGTACTGTAATGTAGACAAGGTCAAGTTTGTTCTCACGCAGATCACAGCCAAGAACATTCCCTAGAACCTGAGGGAGGCAGGCAGGCAGTTCTAGGTTTCAGGCAGAAGAGCCCTGATGACCTGAAACTGAAACTTTCCAGAACATTCCATGTATTTTCACTCAGGATAGTTAATGAAGCTTATTAACCATCCAGTGTCTAAGACTCTCCCATGGTCCAGAACTCGGCCCACTCCACTCTGGTGGGGTTCACCCCGACCTGCCTCAGGTCTTTAAAGGCCAGAGCTGAACACTGAGTGGCCCCACTCCCCTAACACTGAGCCTGGCCTCTTCATGGGAAGCCTTTTGAAGGACCTCATCTGCTTCCCATAGTAACACTTCTTCCCAGTCCCTTCCCTGCCTGGATCTTTGCTTTCTCTGCTTCTTGTCTGCCCTGGGGAAAGGGGGGTGAACCAGGTGCTGGACTTCTGCCCTCTAGGGGCTGCTCCTCAATTTCTGATAGGCTCAGACATGCCCAACTTGAACCCCTTTTCTCCTTTTGGTCAGAAACTAAAAACATCCTGGAAGCTGGAACCAGGAATGGAAGGCCAGGGCAAGAGGGGGCCCAGCCTGCCCTCGGCTGTGCTCGGAAAGGGGAGTGGTCTCCCAGAGCTGTGCAGTCTGGGGTCATCTCAGGCAGGCACCCTGTGTTTCCAGTGTCCCCCAGCCTCTAGCAGCTTGAGTTCCAGCAGAGAGAGTAGAACCAGGGCTGGTGTGGGTTGGAGGTTCTCGGGAGGACACCATCTGGCCTTTAACTGTGGTCCTGTCAGGCGAGTCTGTCTGGGCCTGAAGGGCTCTCTAAAGCCAGTCCCCCCAGTTACTGGTGAAATCTCCAAATACCCCCTGAGCAGTGACTTAGGCACTGTTCACATATGTATCTTCAGGGACAGGGAATACCTCCCTCCAATAGCAGCCCTGACTTAAGAGCAGTCACCATGGAGATGATGCCCAACCTATTGGCCAGAGTAGAAATGCGCCACATGGTTTTCAAGGCTGTAAATATTTACGGAAGCAGACTGACACATCTTTCTCCCATGGAGCAGCTGGTAGATTTGAACCAACAACCTTTCAGTCAGCAACCAAGTGCTTAACTACTGTACCAAGGACCTCAGAGTAACTCCAGGTAGTCTCAGCTCTGACCTCTGGCTCTATAGTGAACAGTCCTTTAGAGATTCAAAGGCTACACCTCTCTCCCTCTCTCTCTCCCACACAGACACACATACATATTTCATATGAACCCCTCATAGGAATTAAGTCCCCATCTTCCTTATCCAAAAGTGTTCTTTTTTATATCCCTCTTAGTATAATACTTCACTGAAAAATAGTACCAACCCAGCACCTCTCTCTTGATGGTTATATCCCTATTAACGTGGACCAAGATCTCGTTAGCTCTGTAGGCCTCTATAACGCTTCTTCTGTCCCCTCTTACTGAGCAGGACCATCCATGGCTCTCCACCAAAGCTCCTCAGTAGACCCGGCCTACTGAGTAGACAGGAAAACTGTTAGCCTTCATAGTGTGGTCCCAGTACAAGTTCCTGCTCTCCCACCTTGTCCAGTGCTCATCTGGCCACTTAGTGTTGACCCAAGCTGAGGACAGACACTTTTAGCCTGAAAGAACCCCCTCCATCACTCAGTGGGCTGGGTGTTTGGCAGGCCAAGAAGGAGCAGATGGCGTCCTTGCTGGGCTAGGTGACTGGGAAGAGTAGGTACACACAGGTGAGGCAGGTGGACCACAGCAATGGAGCAGAGTGTGCTGCTGGCCAGAAGCGCTGGGAGCTTGAGAGGCAAGACTCTCATGGCTTGAAAATCAGAGAAGGCTTCATGGAAGAGATGGGAGTGGTGCTGCACCTGAAGGAGAGCTGGGCTGTGGACGGACAGAGAGGAAGGGAGGGCATCAAGAGTAGGGGCACAGGAGCTGAGCTGTGGAGGCTGCAACGGCAGGGTGGCTGGTTGAGGGAGCAGAGAGGAGTCGGGCAGCAGCGTCCTCATCATCACATTTATTGACGGCCCCTGGGAGGCGGGGCTGGGGACAGAACATACAAAGACAAGGACCTGCCCTCAAAAACTTCCATTCTAAGGAGACAGGGACAGAAAAATACAGAATGGTCTTTCCTGGGGATGGCCCACTCTCACCTGTGCAGGTCAGAAGCCCTTGGCCTACCTTGACCCAGCGTCTGGAGCATGAGTAGGGCCTGTAGTGGCCCCAGGGCCATGGTGTCCCTGGCCCCGATGCTGGGGCCTGACCACCTGGCTCCTAGGAGGTGGGCCCCAGAGCTGGGGGGAAGGTAGGCTCAGGACAAGATGGAAAACACTCCTGTTGGCCTTGGTATTGTGCAAGCCTGGTGGAGTGGTGGGTGCAGTAGGCCCCTGGGCAGGGCCATCGGGGAAGTGGGCATCTTCCCGGCTCCCGTAGGAGGGTAAAGTTTTTGTCACTGGGGCTAGTGCATCACCCCAGAGGACCCAGCCCGGGAGACGGAAAGGGCAGTTTCCTCACTGCCCCCACCCCACTCCCAGGCCTCTCTGGGCTTCTTCCAGGTGACCCTCCTCCCCAGCTCAGCCTCCAGGACCAGGGCCTGCCTGAGGCCAGGGGGAGGGGCCCGCCCCTCCCCCCACCCAGGCAGTGGGGGGCGGGAGGAGGAACCACGCATCAAGTTTGTCTGGGCCCCCCACTGGGGGGCCGCACCCTGGATCCTACCGGTGGGGGGGCTCTGGCTGCGAGGGCCGAGGGCTCAGCAGGGGGGCTGGCCCGAGGGGGCACCCGGGGGAGCCCTTCAGTGGGAGCACTGGGCGGGAGTCCAAGGGAGGCAGGCTCCGGGGCACTGCTGGTGGCCCCCGGGCTGCCCCGGTGGGCAGGACGGCCGCAGGGGTGAAGGGCTTGGAGGGCTCGGCGGCAGCAGTGGGAGCTGGCTGGGCAGACCGCTCCCGGCGCCGCAGCAGCTCCTGCAGCTTCTCGGCCTGGGTCCGCCGCAGGTGGGCCAGGGCGCGGCCGCGCTGGAAGGCAGGCAGGAAAGCCTCCAGGCTCTGCTCCCCCAGCAACAACTGCTCCATCTGCTCCTGGGACCCGAGGAAGAGAGCTGTGTGAGGAGCAAGCCCAGAGACGGAGCGCTGGCCCCGTCCCGCCCACCGACTCCCTTCCCACGGTGACCCCCACACGGCCTGGCCTGCCTCTGCCCTGCTGAGGCCTGTGGACAAGTGGCCTCCGTGCACCAGCCTTGAGTTCCCCACTTACAGAGCGCGGACACCATCACCAGACCTGCTGGGTCAGAGGTAGGGCCCATCAAGGCCAGGCCTGGGTCTCGTCCTGCCCACCTCCAGCTCACCACCTGCGCCCCGGAGCCAGCAGCCCTGAGCCGCTCACAGAGGAGCCAGGCAGAGAGTCACAGGTGGGCAGAGGGAGCCCCAGCTGTGGGCCAGGTACTCGAGAGGCTTCCCAGAGGGGCTCCCAAGACTGCTGGGGAACAAACACGGTGGGGGTGCGATCGGCTGGGCCTCCCTCGCCCCCTGTCCCCGGGCTCAGCCACCTTCCCTCACCTCGGCCTCCTGCTCGGCTTCTTCCAGCTCAGCCTGCAGCCAGCCCAGCGCGCAGTGCGGGCTCCAGCGATGCATGCTGTCCTCTGAGGGCCACAGAGGGACGGAGTGAACAGCCCCTGCCCTCAGGGCCTGTCTCCCAGGAGAGAGGAGCCGGAGCCCCAGGGTCTAATCCTGACTGTCCCACACTCCGTGTGGGAACCTGTGCTTTGCTTCCTTCCCCTTTCTTGGAACCTCAGTTTTCCCACATGCACAGTGCCTGTGTGTTCATTTTATGCACACGCCCCACCCCCGTTCTGCCTTCAGCCCTAGTGCAGAAGAGAAGCCAGGGCCTTGTCTCCTTGGACCCCCTTTTTTCCCACTGACCAAGACCCCCCCCACCCTCAGGCCTCTCCAACCCAGCTCTACTCACCTACTGCTCACTTTTCCAACTGTTTCCCCGGAGGCCCAGGACAGCACCCCTCAAATCTGCCTACGATAGGCCTGCCCAATCCCACCCTGCAGAGCGTGGCACTGCCCAAGGGTCAACCAGCCCGCTGGCCACCTGCCCTTCCCCAGTCAGCTCTCCTAGCTGCCCCCTCACCCAGTCTCTGCAGCTTGTCTGCACAGCTCTCGGCCACCTCACGCAGCTCCTGGTACTTGATGGCCAGGGCGGCCCGGCCCATCTCCAGGCGAGGCCGCAGCGCCAGGTTCTCCTTGGCCAGCGCGTAGTTGGAGGCCAAGCATGCCTCACGCTCCAGCTGCAGGCCCTGGAACTACCGGCAGAGAGGAGCTAAGAGGGTCACTCCCGGAGGCTGCCCACATCCACCTTGCAGTCGCTAGGTGACGATGCCTGTGAGCCAAGCTGAAGGGACCTGGGCGGCCCCAACCTCCTGGATGGCAAGCCCAACAGGTGGAGGGGCTGCAAGAGGCCCAGACAGGGCTTTGCCTGGACCCGCTTCCCTGTGTGGCCTTGGGTAGGGCCCCTCGCCACTCGGGACCTCAGTTCCATCCTCTACCCAGCAGACTAGAAACACCTACTGCACAGGGGTGTTGAGGCTGAAGTGGGGAAAACTATGAAGGCCTCTACAAATGTTAGTTAATTTTTAATTTTTCAATTAACGTGCCTGCTCAGGTCCCTGAGGAGCCCCCCTCCCGTCCCATTTTCCATGCTTGGGCAGCTTCCTTCTGGATCTAGGCCTTTGTCTGCTTCCTGCTCAGGTGTTTGTGTGGAAAACACTCCTGCCCCCTGCTCCTACTCTCCCGAGTGTCATCCACACCTCGTCCCTCCATAGTGCCCCTCAGGTCACTCTCTTCCCTTCAGGCCTCCTCCCCTGCCCTCCAGTGGAATGCCCACACCCCCGAGGCATACACACCCCCTTTCCCTCCCTGATCCCCTAATACCTGCTCCCAGCTCTCCTCGGCCAGAAAGCTGGGCCCTGTCTGCTGGCCCCGGAGAAGGCTTTTCCTGTTTCCAGGAGGGCCGGCCTCCCCTGCCTGTCCCTAAAGAACGCACTACCCTCCATCCGTCCCCTGTAGGATGCACAGGCCCCTTGTAGACCGCTTCCCTCCAACACACACTTTCCCTTTCTGCCCCCCCCCCCCACCGCCAGCGCCAGCCTGCCTGCCCGCCCAGGCCTAGCTCCCGTGAAATAGACAACTTTCTCTATGGTGGCCGACGGAATACACACCTCGGCTCTCAGTACCCCTTCCAACGCGAGACACAAAGCCCCCTCGTGCGCCCCCAGAATGCGTACGCCCCTCCACTGGTCCCCCAGGTGTCAAACAGGCCCCTAGTTCTCTCCACGGAAGGCGCCTCCCCTTTCTGGCCCTACAGAACGTGGGTGTGCGAGGCAGGGCCCCCCACAACACAGCCTCCCCCTGCCCCTCGGAACACACCTCCCCGAAGCATCCGCGGGAGGATACGCCTCACGGCCATCCCGGGGGTGCACTGGCGCCTCCCCGGG